ATCCTTGTATGTGGCGGCCGGCAGACTTGGAGTACGCGGAAATAACACGTCCGTGCATGAAGTCGCAAGTGATGTGACGGGACTGCCTCTTTCTTTCGCGCGCCACGTGATCCCATGCTGTCACAGTTGGAGCAGGGGTTGGGAAATATCCACCACATCGAACGTGCTTCAAAATCTCAAAAACCTCACCGCGAACGCTAAACTCCCAAGGCAACTGAGTCAAGGTGCCACCATGCACAGCTCCTTCGCATTCAGTGACAAAGCCCGGCCGCACTTGATCAACTTCATCACCATCGCTAACATGGCGACCTTCAGCTGCAAAAGAAATCCGCTTTTCTTCTGGGTCATTAAGTGGGCCGCATATTACAGGTGCCTCAACAAAAAGACAAGGGTACGGGCGTGGGTGGAGTCAAGCGCAAGTGTATAGGCACTCTAGGAGGAGCAACTATTATATAGTCACAATTCGGACCCCCATATCAATCAATTAATCCACGGCCTCAGTTCGAACAGCCGAAATCCTCCTTACGCCATGGTTCCTTTGAACCTGGATGAAGCATCAAACCCACGGGGGCGCTCCATGATCCCAAATGCTTGAACCTTCCATGGGTTCACAAGCGTCGATGCAGGCAAGCGGCCGAAATTATGCGGGCGCCTGCTTCGAGCTTCGAGGCTTGAGTTCTATACTTTTATACACGCAGCCTAAGTGTAGGCCGGTTGAGGTTGAATTCACTGCGGCGCACGAAGTGTGCGGCTAGAAATGGCACAGTTCAATTTATGTGTGCGTCTCGTGCCGCCAGGCCCCCGACCAAGCAATGTAGGCCAGAGTGCTCAAGAGTGGCCAAGCGCCACGGCACGTGACGATAGTTGCACGATTCATTGTGAGGGGATGGCTGCAGGCTTCAGGGCAGAGGACGACGTCATGAGAAGTCCAAACATGAAATTCAAACATGAATCAAGACATCTTGGTGAGAGATGTGACAGCTTTTGTGGTTGTGGATGCGTGCCGTCTCGGATCCTTGATGCTACGACCTTAATCTTGAAATCCTACCGCGGGTTCACCTCCCCTGACATCTTTGCCAAGATGCCCACGATGCACACCTGAGAGGAGGATGGACGGGTCTTCCGTCCCTAGATATTATGCATACAGTGATGCAGGTTGGTATGTCCTAGTTGCGCTGATGAGTGCCGTTCTCTGCCTTCGACGGGTTCATCATCCCAAACCCCTACAAACCCACAAAGCCCGCACTACAAGCCTGCCGCTCAAACTTTAGACTTCCAACCTTTCACCCTTCAACTTTCAAGCTCGCAAGCTTTTGACCAACTCTCGAAGTCGCATCTTCGAACTCCGAACTCTCAGCTTTGAGCACCGACCACGCGGACGTGGCTACAGGAGTATGAGTTCGAATGAACGGAAAGCACGGGTTTACAGTGACAGGAAGCACCAATTACCCCGCCGTCCTCAACCCTTGTTGCTGCAGGCTTGCATGCAAGGACGCCTGGTCCTCAACCCTAAACCCTGAACAGTCGAGAAGAAGCCTTAAGCGCTTTCAGGCGGCCTGCCCTCCGTTTCGCCTATCGTGCGATTGGTGCTCCGATATTCCGAAAATAAAACGTTGCACCCCTGTGGTAGTTGTTGCGTCGGTTTGGGGCTCCTGTGAATGCTGCTGAGGTGACGGGTAACTTGAATGGCAATTTCTTTGATCCTTGCATCTCAGGACTCATTCTTGCTCTTCGTCCTATTGCACTGAGTTGAGACTGACAGAGCTCGCGAATTAATCTGCCAGGTTGCGATGTAGTAAACGATCAAGTGGAACTGGAAGCCCACGTCTGATTCCTTTGGAAGGCGGAAAGCGCAGGGGAAATTAGGTTCATGCCACATGCAGTCGAGATTGCACTTCTCTGAACTTCGGGGTTTTAGGGCTTAAGGTCTTTAGTGGGTTACGAACTGGGAGTCGCTGTTTGTTGTATCTCTGACTCTTGATGCAGCTACGTTACCTTTTAAAAGTGCCAGTACTGTGCTTGCCGTACACGCTACGGTGTGTTCTCACCAGCTTACTCAGCTTACCGTCAGTAGTCAGTGGTGGCCCAGCACCCATGAAGACCCGGCCTGTGAGGTGTAGGCAACAGCCGTCAAGCCGAAGTAGCCAAAGACCACACCTTGAGCAACGGCATGGGACAAGGTTTGTAACTTCACAGACCATGCGGGGATTCGGGATGACTTACAGCCTGAGTCGGAGCAGTGGGCCCTGAGCTTGCGAGTGTCCAGCCTGGTGCGTACTCTGCGACCGAAGGCTTTGCAGATGTTTTCGGATCTCAAGTTTCTGCGATCATCCAAGATACCCTTCATGGCAAAGATGGTTTAGGTTCACCTTTCTTGAATATGACCCGACCGTTCTTGCAGGTTTCAGAGTTTGAGGATAGTGATTCCGGCTTGCAAGGATGGGGTCAGGTTCCAAGGCCTCCTCCTCACCGAAAAGGAACAGGGGGACTTCGTCGGGAGTTTGTGGGCCTAACAGCTGCACTGTCTGCTGGCTTGTGCTTGGAGGGCGGTCAGGCCTCAAACAACATCGGGCTTTGAAGATCTGGGCATGATAAACACCCTTGTTGGACGGGCGGGATGTCGGTTCAGAGGATGCCGCAAAATCATCCGGGCCGGTCGAAGAAAGCAAGATTTCAAGTAACTGACCCTGGCCATGCTGAAAACATACGATCAGGTTTCGAAGTCAGAAGACTGTCAGAAGTGATCCATTTCCGCGAAAACCCACGTTCACTTTTCTGCAAAGCCCTGCGCAAAAACAGCGGGGACGCAGTCAAGACGCCTCCTTCTGGTACTTAGGTGTCAGGGTTTCGACTCTCACAGCCGAGACAATCCAGATGAGGTGTTTGCGCAGCGCATGCCGCCAACTTCTTGCGGGTCTATATGAGGATTGAGCCCCACCCTTTCCAAAGTGCTGTAGTCCAGCCACTTTCCGCCATGTACGCCATCAGCTCGGCAAGCTCGCCTTTGGAACTTTCCAGGTTTTCGGGGCCTGTCTCCAATTTAGGAGGAGTATTAAGGAAGCCAGTGCAGCCAGTGCTCGTCATCGAGAAGTTCGAAATTGGCAACAGCAGTGACAGAGGTGGTGGTGGTGCTGCTGGTGGACGCAAAAGCATCAGCAGCAGTGCAAAAAGTAGCAGCAGCAAGGACTGCATGGCATAAAGAATTACAGGCTTCATGCTACCTGTAGTACGAACAAGCAAGGAAGACATACCATGCGCAGCTTCAGGGGTAAGGCCTACAAAGAAGCTCAACAGCACAGGATGAGAACAAGAAACATGTAGCGAAAAAGAGACGACTAACGACGATAGCTTATCTCACCAACAACTAGGAGCACCCGAAAAAAACCCTGAACGTTTTCATGCCAAAGCGGCTTGTGAACTCTTGGGCTTCTGGCGAGAGCCTCGCTTGGGAGGAGGCCCTGTTGGGCGTTGGAATCTGTAGCTTTCGAAAGCTGAATCAATAATTCCACTCATTTCGCCTTCAGTATTAGGGTGCTTAAGGTGTTAAGGTTTTTTTTCCCGGGTTTTGTGGGAGCCCGACTGTGCGTGAGTCGAGAGCTTAGGTTGTCGTTTACTTCCTGGAGCCGCATCCAAGCAAGCTGCAATACCCCAATAGCACACGATGCCACAAGAACTTCCCATCAAAAATCGAATAGCTCATAAACCCCGGTGCCAGCTGCCAAGCGCTAAATCTTGGTCTCCCTGCAGCCTGGCAGCCCATGCTGGGCATAGTGGCCACTGAGAACAGAACACACAAAGAGGGCAAAGATCGAGGAGAACTCGCACAGCTCTGTCCTCAGCACAGCTTTGAGGGTATAAGGTCGACAAAGCAGGAAGGACTCTGGCAGGGTCTGGCATCTTGCTCGTAGGATACCGAAAAGTGCCATATATATATATATATGTCTTAATAGCCAGCCGAAACGTCGTGGAGCGGAATGAGGGTGATCTGAATTCCCATTTAAATCACAATCGACGACATAGGCTGGAGGTCCTTAGACCTTGGGAGTCGAGCCCTCGTGGTGGCTGACCGTCATGCCGTGCTGAGTGATGAAGATGATGAAGCTCTGTGGCAATGATGCAGGTTAATCAGTGTTATTGTCGAGCATCAGCTTTGCGCTTTCTGCTGCTGAGACAGGAGAAGGATCACTGCTTCTGCAGACGGCTACCTGCTGCTGAACGCATTAATCACAAGCCCGAAAACTGATACACTCACGAATGGCAGCGGTGACATTACCCAACCATCGTGCCAAGCTGCAGAATGTAGCCTGGGCTTGCTCTGCTTGAGAAGTGATTACGTTAGACTTAGACTGCTGGTGCTAAGGATGCTGATGCTATTTCTCCTCCTCATACTCTTATACACAGTTGCTATTACCACGACTATACTGATTAGCGCTACTGCTACTCCTAGGTCGACGATGGTACAGTAGTTCCTCAGTTCTTTCTGTCTTTAGGGGTCCATCCAAGACACCGAAAGCCGACAGCAAAGGATAGTTATGCAGCACTTGTAGGAGAATCACCAACAACAAGGACTACAGTAGGGTCTCGGTGTACGGCAGCCATGGAAAGTAGCAATGGAAGACACAGGCCCGAACGTGCATGTTGATAGTTTCCGTCATTCCAAATTTTCGACGGACACAAAGAAGCACTCTTTTTGTCGGAGCTCAAGCAGCACAGGGCATTTCAAAGGCCTAATCAGCCTTTGCCCGAAGGTCACGAGCTTCGGGTTCAAGCGGGGTCACGCTTCACGGGTTGTAGCTCGAGTGTCCTAGTCCCCTGCCCAAAAGCCTAAGACGCGCTGGTCCATACCGCTCGGCAAACCTGAAACACGTTGAAGGTGAGGAGGCCGGATTGTTGTTGGCCCGAAGCTCGAAACCGAAAGCCCTGGGCTGAAACTCTCTGCATGGATGGCAGGCTCTGTGAGCATTCCTGCCGAACTCTCCGGTGACTGATCCGCACGCAGATCACAGAATCCGTCTCTTGACGGTCAAGGCATAGAGGTTCCTCGGTGTGGACTGCATGCACCAGAGTCACCAGAGTTCTGATCCACACCGGAGGGGCCGTTCTCGGATTTAGGCTCCCAAACACCCCATAGCCCATAGAGCATCTTGCCCTGAACCCTGACCGACTCCATCCCTGCACCCCCAAACCGAAGTACCTAAATGCACCAAGCAGCAAGGTGTCAACGATGAAGTTCCTTGGCTGCCGGCGTTCCGGAGCGACGGAAGACTTCCAGCTTAGGGTGGAGGCGCTCAAGCCGGTTCATCCAAAGGTTTAGAGAAGGCATTACTTGTTTTCCAGGACAGTACAGGAGCGAGAAGCCCGCCCCTCATGTTGAAATACCAAAAGCACCCTTCAGCATCCCAACTACTCTTACAAAGATTCCCGGTTGAACCTCGATGCTTTCATGCCAGGACCCTCTTGACCCTAAAGCCTTCCCCAGGTCTGAAGCTGAAGCTGGAAGCTCAGCTTAAGCTTCATCGTCTCGTGCGTTGCGTTGCACCAACGCTCGTCCGGGCGAATCTCGCCTTGGCGGGCCTCCGGAATGTTTCGGCGCTCATGCTCTCTGGGTCTTGTGACCTGTGAGAGTTGAATGCTTTGGGGCTTCATCGGTTGAGGGTTCGTCTGACTCCATCTTGGACTTAGATAATGTCAACCTCATATTTAGAATCCCCCGCGTAATTGCAAAATCCAATTCCCAGAACGTAATTAGAACCCCCCCCCCCGTATTTGCAGAATCCAAGCAGTTAAGCGGAAAAAATAAAAGAACTGTAAGCATAATCTACAGGAGCTGAAAAGGCTTTGGGGCTGTTGGGGGTTCTGCTCAGCAAATTCGCGAACACTGCAGAAGCACTCTGACACTGATGAATGGCTCTCATGCCGGACCCGGACTCTGATTACGGAGGCTGAGGCTCCCATCCTTGCGGGGGGGGGCCCTTTCTTAATATGAAGTGAACATTAACTTGGGAGCCGATCGGAACTGTGAGCCCTTTGCTGTCGGACTTCGTCTTGGCTTTAGGGTTGAGGCTCCTTGGCCTCAGGGGTCAGAGTTCCTGGTCTCACTTCAGTACAACAATCGCATGTCTGACACCTAACGTGGGACTCAACACTAACTTAGCCATGGTTCGTGGACCGAAAGCTGCAATCCCGTGAAAGTCTGTGCAGTGTGTGCGTGTGTGTGTGTGTGTGCCTAAAGCAGCGCGCATCTCACATTCACAATACCCCATCTCAGCCATGACTGCCCAGGGCCTTCTCCTGTACGAAGGTCTCGCAGTCGCGGATCAAGGCCAAGTCGATGTATTTCAAAGCGTAGGAGCCTGAGTTTGGGGCTTTGGGCATTTGGGCCTCGGGACTGATATCGGTTCCAAGGCATTCCCAAGCAACCCCGAAAGGGAATGCTGTCTTGGGATGCTGTCTGAGAGCGAAACGCACGTGATTGCAAGGACGTTCACTTCGCGACGCTATAGATCACATGCATGGGGCCTGGGGTGGGGAAGTGCAAGAGCAAACCCCTTCGCCTGCAACACACGTGCCACAGCACCTGAGCGCCTTCCCCAGGGCTGCAATCCTAAGTCCCATGCAACGAGGACCTATAACAGGGCTTTCGTTTCTGGGCTTCTAGATTGTTGTCCATGCACGAACTGGTAGGCCCAAGGGCCGAGGTAGGTCTATGGCCGAGGTTGAAACCTTCAGCACGTAGCCATGCTAGCCCTTTCGCGAGGGCTGACTTCTGGAATGCTCTGACGAGACACCTCTTGCGGCTGGAAGTAATCCTAAAAGCCCCAGGGCTTCCACTCCAAGTCAACTGACCCTTATTTGCAGACTTTACTCCACGATGCCCACCAAAAGCAACAACCTGAAACCAAACCCTGCAACCATGAACGATGAATACCCCAAAACTCGATCAACCCTCGCATAGCCAGCGGCAAATGCTCGCGAAGTTGTCAACCTGAGCGAAGCATTGGCTCGATGCCCAACGAAGCTGTGCAATCAGTTGCAGCGCCCAGCCCGGAACTCTGAAGGTGAGTGTCCGTCATTCGACTCCTCATCTGGGACAACAATCCAGGGATCATGCGCTCCACCTGCCGCCAGCTCCGCAGAACAAAGGCTCTAGGCTCTAGGGTCTATAGAGATGGGGGAGCCTATGACCTTGGATACTCCTTCTGAAACGTGCTCGAAACGACATCGGACGACAGATGCTTTTCTTGTCTGCTCTGGGCTGCACTCTGCGGTGGCATGGTCTCAGCCACGCCGCAGTTCTTGGGCAAAGAGCTTCGTCCTGCATCCCTATTGCTCTCGACGCTTGTGGCGGCTGCAGGGATAAGGAGCTCCTGAATTGCTTGATGAGGCCGCCAGACGGGGCATGCAAACGTGATCTCAGACGGCACCTACCCCAAGCAACCGGATCTGACACCGTCGAATGCATCGCCATTCAAGGGAGCTCAGCAGCCCGCCTTGGCCATGCGAGCTTTCTTGCTGGGGGGCTCTTGCTCCTCCTCCTCATCGTCCACTGGGGCATTCTTGCCGTGCAGCTTCTTGTACTCTTCCATGGCAGCCTTGTATTCCTCGTTCTTCTTCTGGAACTTCTCCTGATAGGGCTTCTGTTCCTTCTCCGAGAGGGTCTTCCACTGAGCGCCGGCCGCCTTGCCGATGTCGGTGACCTTGTAGCCCTTCGGAAGTGTCTTGACGATCGCTTCGCGGTTCTCTTCGAGGAACACGCCGTAGGCCCCGCCCACGGGTCTCTTCGGGGCATCGGGGTCCTTCGCCTTCTTCACCTTTTCGTCCTTGCCCTTGCGAGCGATCTTCTCTCGCACTCCCCCGGCAGCCTCAAAGGCCTTTAGGTCTTTCTCGTACTTCTCCTTCGCGGCTTCGTACTGCTTCTGGTAGACTGCTTTCTCGGCATCGCTGAGCTTCTTCCATCGTTCACCCCCGAGCTTTGCAACCTCCGATGCCTTCTGGCCTGCTAGCTCCTTCTGGAACTCGGCACGCTTCTCATTCATGAACTGGCCGTAAGCGCCGCCGGCGGGTCGCTTGGGCTGCATGGTGGAGGCCATCGTTCTCGTTTTCGGGAAGCTGTCGGCTGGGAGAAGTCAGGACGGCTCGGGCAGCTGCACGGCTCGCAAAGATTCAACATACGCGGAGGCCACAACGAAACGATTCAACCAAATGCACGATTACATGTGTGCCCTTCTAAGCCATGCTGCGCTGTCTTGCCGCATGCTGTCTCGCACAACATGATTCTGAGGACTTTGTCGCTTGTGGTCTTCTTTGCCCGAGGCCACGCCATCGAGAAGCTGAGAGAAAGTTCCGAGTCTTGTCTCGGGATTCCGGCAGAAGGTGTACAAAGGGTATGAAAGCTAGGTTCCTTTAAGCATTTCAGGGTAAGAACTGCGGAGGATTTGAGTGTACCTTGCCCTCGCATGGTAAAATCAGCCGACATCCCCGTGCCTGGTACTTGTCGGCCATCTCAGCCACAGTGACGATGTCTTGGCAGCTGCACTCCTCCTCTGGAAAGCACCCGCTGTAAAGCCTGACCAGAAGTGCGGTCGCACTGGATAGCTTTCCAGCTTTCTGCCCTCCCTCGACGGTCTTGGCGATGACGGGGATGGTGATGATGATGACAGTAGAGGAAGTTGTGTTGAACTACGAAGGTATCTGTTGCTGTCTGTTGCTACTAATTTTGCTATCATGCTCGTCGTTGATTTCTGGCGCCGTTAGCATGATGGATTTGCTCTTGTTCTCATGATCTGTGATATGCCTGCTAGGTGGGTCGGTTGAGCCGTAGCCCCATAGAGGATTAACATGTAATGATGATGCGTCTCTGTCTCTCTGAGGTGTGTGTGTGTGTGTGTGTGTGTGTGTGTGTGTTTGTGTGCGTGTGTGTGTGCGCGTGCGTGTGTGTACCCAGACATTCCCGAACCTGAGGCTGACAAGTAGCGAGGCCTCAGGCAGTCTTCTTCAGCCCAGGACCCACAAAACCCTAATCATGTCAAAATTCGGAGTCCAGAGCTCTTGATTCTCTGCCGTGCCCTCAGATGTCGGCGAGGAGCAGCGAGAGGAAGGTGTTCACAGCCGCCGGGGGCTCATCCAAGACAATGCGATGGTTCCCACCTCATGCAGGCTCGGTCATAGTAACAGTAGACCCAGCCGCCGAAGAAGCACAACAAAAGAGTCCATTGCTGCGTTGCTTCTACCCTCTCCAGCAGCAGTTCCTCCTCCCATGCTCTAGAATAAAGAAGCACACATCGGGAAGGAGAAAGTGCAAGGCGACATGTCGCATTAGCTTCGATTGCTGTGCGATGCTGTGGCTTGTTGCTACATGCTCTGGGGTTGCATGTTGCGACTGAGTCAGAGCCTGCAGGCTCGAAGCCACAGAAGGTGGACTCTGCGGATCGAGACAACGTTCTAACCGATGAAGCAAGATCCCAGCTCCCCCTTGAGACCCGTTCGTCTCAAGAATCCCGCGGAGCGAAGCAACACACGTCCTAAAGCTATGCTAACTCACCAGATATGTGAGAAGCAAGTTGTCCTGGCCACAAACCCCCATCCCGACACCCTGCGAAAGTGGAGGAAGTGCGATCCCCTCCAAAATGTGCGCAGCCGAGCTGCCTTCTTGCCATGCCTGGCGTCTTGTCTAGCTATCGAAATTGTGCACCCGTCAAGACTGCTTTCCCTACGCCAACCGCCAGTCCTGCAAGCAAACTGCAACGGCATTTGTAATCTAGGTTTCAAGGGGTGACCTGTGACCTACCAGGCCTATGGCTGATGGAAACATCGCCCTCAAATAACTAGGTACGGACAAGAATAGGGGCGAATAGGCCCATCAATAGAGCTAGCCACAATCTTTCAGCTACGCACAGCTCACGCAGGCACCTGAAAACCCCCATGCAAGAAACGAACAAGGGGTCACATCCAAAGCTCCATGATTCCCATGCAGGTCTTCCTGGCCTTGTTTGTCAACATCGCCTTGAAAACCTAAGCTGGATGCGTAAACTTTCCGTAAACTTTACAAAGCCAATGAGGTGTTGGTTTTTCAGGACCGGTGGGCTAACTTGCGTTCTATTCCAGTGAGCTTCCTCAGGCCATTTAGAAAGCAATGTGTAAAAACTTGGGGCAGGGTTTTGGGGGAGGTCGAGCTCCCAACCCTCCGGAGATGACGAGTTAGTCGGTAAGCGAGTGAGCATCGACCCGCAGCAAAACTGCGGCCTACCGTCCACGTCCATCTCTAGATGATACGATCTGGGATTTTCCGAAAATAGGGGACCCAAATATAGTAGCCTAAATAGTAGGATCCTTATTATAAGGACCCCCAAATAAGGTAGCCCTTATCTTCGGAAACCCCCAACCATATGTTAAGGGCAGAAGGGCAGCCCAGCTTGGGTGGGCCTTGGCATGCTCGGGCTATATCCGCCACTTTCGGGCTGGACCATGGCGGTTTTGCAGAAGGCCAGAAGGACGACAAACAAACGGGAGTTGCCGAAAATTAGGGGTACCGTATTCTGGGGTCCTTATAAGCAGGATCCTACTATTTATAGGGTACTACATTGAGGTCCTCTACTTTCGGAAACTCCCAAATCCGTGAGAGACCGTATCATTCAGTAAGCGACAGTGGAAGTTTTTTCCCGAAAGGAATTTCTACGCCTTTCCACGCCTGCAGCAGCCCAGTTCCGACCGCCTCTCTACTTCAATGAAAGGGGAAAAGGAGGGACCCTTAATGGGGACCCCTGCCCTATAATGGGCTATATGATGGGTATATAATGACTATATCAATTAAGGCTATATACCTAGGTGTCCTTATTAAGGGCCGGAAAAAAAGCTCGAGGAGCCCCTAAACCCAACAACTCAATATCTGAATCCTGAGCAGCCCAAAATCAATGAATCAAAGCAGCTATCGTAGAATACCCAGGCCCAAAACCCTCCCTTCTAACCAGCCCAGCATCTGGCGAGGCATGGCAAAGAAGCACAGAGTGGGCAAGGAAGACGCAGCGCCTGAGGGTGGAGCTAGTACCAGCTGTAAACAGACGACAAGGAACGGCTACTGGTAGACATTCGTAGCCTCGTATGATTCCATGGACACTTAAAGGTTCATGGGTGGCGACAGGTAGGGCTCCGTTCGCAAAGTAGATCTGATTATACAATCGGTTGCAGCGTTACTTTTGCCTCTGCGTACAACTACCCATGAAACTGCAGGCTTCGAGCAAAACGTTCTCGGTGCCTTGAACCTAGAACTTTCCCATGAAAACCTCAAGTCCGGCTCCGACAGTACGATGACCGAAACCTCGATACCTTGCCTCAAGCTTCAACCATGCAGCCTTGACACATGCCCAGTCTCAATACGCCTTCCAATCCCCCAAAGAAGCCAAGCAAAAGCCCAGCGCTCCTCTACCTGTCAAAGTGTAGCAGGAGGCACATGGTGCTACCCTCCCTCAGCAGTCCCAAGCCCTCAAGCGCATAAAATGCCATGTCAAGAAGCAGCTTTCTCTCTGTCATGGGCCGGCTGAGGATGGTGACATCGGCGAACTCCGGGTCTCGGCCTGCAGCTGCTCAAGGGAAAAAAGCCCCTGCCGGGCCTGATCAGTAACTTGCTATTAGCCAAATCAGAGAAGAGAAAAACTTCCATCGTTTGACCTCGAATCGCAAAGGGTTTCGCAGCAGCAAGAATTGAGTGTGAAGCTCGGTTTAACGAGCCTGTTCTGCAAGTAAAGCTTCCAAAGCGTGCTTGCTTGTGTGACCCACCCTGGGTCCTTGGGCCCATAGGCTAATAGTGTGTTCGGTCTCGCAGGGTGAAGATCGAATTCAGTAAACACTGGGTAAGATCATAAACCAAAGCTGCGCCTAAAGCCGAGTCTGCACATGTCTTTGCCACACTACTAGCAGACTAGCATGTGCCATGCTCGGCTGATATTTCGGTGTGCTGCCTCTCTTTCGTCAAAAGCCGTCTCCGAAGGCTCAACGCCTTGAGCGGATTCTCCTAGCGCTTCTCGCAATTAACATTTCTCGGAACCCTAAACTCGTTAGAACCTTTTGGATGATCTGCACTGAGCCGTTGGAAGCCGAGGTGCAGATCTCGGCCCACATGTGGCCCACGACCGACTCGACAACCAGATGGCACTTTGGCCGATCCTTTTTCGACGTGGGCTTTGATCCGCATAAAGGGGTTGGTGTGAATAAGCTGTAGCACAAATCTGTAGAGGCCCTGGCCCAAATTGACAATGGCTAAGTTTCGTTCAGACCCAATACATACTAAGCCAGATTCGGCAAGATTGCTTGCAGAAAGGGGTCTTCGATTGTAATGGTCTGACATGTTCAGAAACCCGCAGGAATGTGAACCCTGGGCAGTCCGTCAGTGAATCCTAAGATACCTTGGTACCGAGGTGCTACTGCTCTTGCCAGCAACTGCTGCATCGCTTTCAGGCGTCCCGGCAGCAAAGCCTGGGGGTCACAGTCTGAGATGAAGTCATCGAAGCAGATGGTATCGACAGTGCCTGCAGCCGGGACAAATGACTAAAGAGTATCGATGGGAAGCAAGCTTCTTCTACAATGCCTCGAAACAACACTCCGCCAGCCGCAGTAATGAGGCAAACGTTCCACTCATGCCGGCGAATCCAGATTCTCGTTCGATATCAGCTTTTTCTGCCGAAGTGACGTACGAGGGATCTGGCAGAGCTCCCTGCGAGACACAGATCAGTGGTGTCCAGCGGTACTCTTCCGAAGACCTGCAGCAAAAAGAAGCTCGAATCTACTTGTGGATTCTTCTTCGACAGCGAGCAGTAAAAACGGTTTACATCTGAAACCTGCTACACTACATGCCCGCCTTCTCATGCGAATGCTGATCCGGATCGGCACCTCGAGAGATGCCTTGATCCGTCGGCCCAAACGGAAGAAATATCGACGTGTTGAAGCTCTCTGTCTTAAAGTTGCAGGGTTTAGGGTAACTAGTACTAGTACTAGTGCTAATACTCTTAGCAGACGTTGTAGTATTAGTATTAGCATGAGTAGTAGTATTAGTATTAGTATTGGGAGTAGTATTAGTTTAATTAGTAGTATTAGCAGTAGCAGTAGCAGTAGCAGTAGCAGTAGCAGTGGTGGTAGTAGTAGTAGTAGTAGTAGTAGTAATAATAGTAGTAGTAGTAATAGTAGTAGTAATAGTAGTAGTAGTAGCAGCAGCAGTAGTAGTAGTGCTACAGTAGTAACAGTAGTAGTAGTAGTAGTAGTAGTAGTAGTAGTAGTAGTAGTAGTAGTAGTAGTAGTAGTAGTAGTAGTAGTAGTAGTTGCTGTTGTCGTAATTAGTAGCTAGTAGCTAGTAAGTAGTAGCTAGTAGCTAGTAGCTAGTGGCGAGTGGTAGTAGTAGTAGTAGTAGTAGTAGTAGTAGTAGTAGTAGTAGTAGTAGTAGTAGTAGTAGTAGTAGTAGTAGTAGTAGTAGTACTAGCAGTAGTAGTAGTAGTAGTAGTAGTAGTAGTAGTAGTTGGTAGTTTTAGGAGCAATTCTAGTAGTGATAATAATGGCCGGAGTGGTAGGAGTAGTACTGCTGCTGCCGCTGCCACTATGAGAAATCAATCACGGCTGGTCCCAGCTCGACAACCCAGACCCCAAGATTAGAAGCAGCCGCAACCGCTCAAAGGCACACCAGGAGAGAAGCTCCATTCGCTCTTCAAACTTCCTGGATGGCAAAGGACCGATGCAACAGGGAACCAGGATACCGCCTGGGGCCTTGCTGCGTGCCCTATACTCCTGCAATTTCGTGTAAAGTTCCGGTCTGTGGAGTTCTGGAAAACCCCTTCAATGAAAACGGTGGCACCGTGCATGGTGTCAACAACCTAGCGATAGCTGTAAGGCTTCCACAAGGCTTGGCAAATATGTGCAAAGCCACGCAACACGCGAAGTTGCACATGAACATCGCAAGAGTCACTGTGCTTTCTGCGCCCCAAAACACACTGCAGAGACTCTAGCCACTAGCCCCGACAACATGCATTCGGAACGGACAGACGGGAAACAATAATTAGGCATGTATGCTTTGCCCATTGTATCCTTCAGCAACATGAACAACCAACCAGTTTCACTTGCGTGCTGCTTAGCAACGAGAAGAGCACTGCCCGTCAGCTGCTCTTACATGTTTATACTCAGTCTTCCTCATATATCCTCCCCCACAACCTCCGACATGCTTGCAGTAGAGGGAGTCGTGGTTGTTGCTGGCTGCATCAAGATCACGGTATTGATTATAAGTGGTACTAGTATTGCACCTGTACCTATTGCTATCGTTACTGCTAATTTAATACCTAAACTCAAAACTACACCATCACAGGACCATGATCATTCTCGTGGCCGCTCGTGCCAGCATCAACATCAATGGTCAACGATTCCATCCAACCCAACACTGACCCCATCCTGCTGTTGTTAAGCCTCGAGCATGCATCAAGGAGTGGCGTGACCCCATCAAACAAACAAGTGCTTTATACAACAAACATCAGGAAATGCACCCGATTGCACAAGAAACTCGGAAGGGCTCCGACAAGGGTCAACGAAAGCTCTTGCAAACACCACACTAGAGAAGTCTTATGATCTACAAGAATGACGGGTGCTGGATCTTGATCATGGCGTCCGGTCGGATTCATCGAAATCCCAGATTGCGCCAGCCACGACTGCCTGTCGTCGCACTCACTGCAACAACAGTAGTAACAGTACTGGTATCTGTGGTAGTGGAGGAGGGGTTAGTAGTAGTAGTAGCAGCAGCAGCAGTAGCAGTAGCAGCAGTAGCAGCAGCAGCAGGAGCAGTAGCAGCAGCAGCAGCAGCAGCAGGAGCAGTAGCAGTAGGAGTAGTAGTGGTAGTAGTAGTAGTAGTAGTAGTAGTAGTAGTAGTAGTAGTAGTAGTAGTAGTAGTAGTTGCTGTTGTCGTAGTTAGTAGCTAGTAGCTAGTAGGTAGTAGCTAGTAGCTAGTAGCTAGTGGCGAGTGGTAGTAGTAGTAGTAGTAGTAGTAGTAGTAGTAGTAGTAGTAGTGGTAGTAGGTAGTAGGTAGTAGGTAGTAGTAGTAGTAGTAGTAGTAGTAGTAGTAGTAGTAGTACTACTACTACTACTAGCAGTAGTGTTTTTTCATGGCACGCCAATGACAGCTCCGCGGGACTTAAATGGTAACTAGTCACGATGATTTCCCAGAAACATAAAGCCACAACCCAACACAGAAGGTAAAGCCACGGCAGTAGTAGTAGCAGTAGTAGTAGTTGTTGTTGTTGTTTGTTGTTGTTGTAGCAGCAGCAACAGCAGCAGCAGGAGTAGTAGTAGTGGTAGTAGTAGTAGTAGTAGTAGCAGTAGCAGTAGCAGTAGCAGTAGCAGCAGCAGCAGCAGCAGTAGTAGTAGTAGTAGTAGTAGTAGTAGTGGTAGTGGTGGTAGTAGTAGTAAGGCATCCCCTCCCGGTGCGACGCCCAAACCTCTTATTTTTTGGACTTGCTGTGGTCGGAATTGCTGTGTTTTACAGCACTTTTTCTCCGCAGTTATCGAAAGTGGCAACTGTTCCTGGTTTCGTGTGTATTTTTATCATATTTTCTAACATTGTTCAATCTCGCACCCGAAAATGCTGGTATTTACAGCACGTGTCTTTGCGAAATTCATGATTTTTTACTGTTTTTGGGTGTCTCGATTTTCGTGCTCAACACCTAGCGATCAGAATCAAGGTTTTTTGGGCCTCATTTTGATCATGATTTTCATTCAAATCGTTGGTTTGGAGAGCATCCATGTCCAAAACCTAATGACGTCCATGGTCTAGCGCATTTTGGTTTGGAGAGCATCCATGTCCAAAACCTAATGACGTCCATGGTCTAGCGCATGTTGGTTTGGAGAGCATCCATGTCCAAAACCTAATGACGTCTATGGTCTAGTGCATTTTGGTTTGGAGAGCATCCATGTCCAAAACCTAATGACGTCCATGGTCTAGCGCATTTTGGTTTGGAGAGCATCCATGTCCAAAACCTAATGACGTCCATGGTCTAGCGCGTTTTGGTTTGGAGACAGCTGTGATGGAACATGTTGTACATCCACGAACTCAGCGACCGGCGTCGCACCAGGGGGGATGGCCTAGTAGTAGTAGTAGTAGTAGTAGTAGTAGTAGTAGTAGTAGTAGTAGTAGTAGTAGTAGTAGTAGTAGTAGTAGCACTAGGTAGTAGTCGTGAAAATAATCGGGAATTGTAGTTGCAGTTGTACTTGTCGCTGCTGTTGCAGCTGCTGTCAGTCAGAGTAGTCATAGATGACAGCGGCAACAACATTACCAGACACGACAATCACCTCAGTCGCTTGACACAGGAGAAACAGTCCAAGTCCACGAAACTTTTTGCGGCAAGCATTGAAGCTTGGATATGCTGCCTTCAGGATACACACAGTTATATACTGGTCATCCAAGTTGGAATTCTCCAGAAAGTCTGACACGATATCCTCGATTTCGGGCTTCAAGCATTACAGCCGTTAGCTCCATGCCTTCGATTTTAATCAGACACCGACTGGCGCAGCTGAACATCTGCATGATCGCTGGTCCGGGATGGAGGGACGAAGGCGAAGCCAGAATGGCAAAGGCCCGGGTGTCGGATAGAAGCATGTCTTCTCAGAAACAGGTCAACCTGAACTGCTACAAAAGGCCTTTTCACCCTTAGTGCACGTGTGGCATCTGCACCTGCAAAATTATTTCCTACGCGCTCCTTACGGTTATCAAGATCGTATTGAATCGGATGCACTATGTCCCGCAGAGGCTCCTGTCTCACTGCAACCGCCTCCCTCAACTTCGAACCTGAGCTGTGCTTCACCCGGCTGCCTGGAGCGTGGTGCCATACTTCAAGCTCACCTGATCAAGACAGGCTTAGCACCCGTGTACTCATGTACTCGCGAGATTGGTGCCTTCTCCCGGCTCATGATGTGGCGGCCTACATATCGATAAGTTCGAAAGGCTCGCTTTTCCTTCCTTGCTGCCTTCCTTCCTTCCCGGATTCCCGTCTCAGTGAGCTCCGGCCCTGCCCCGCGCCTTCTGCCAATCGAAGTAGGGTGATGCACCTCGGGGCCACTGGAAACTGAGCGGACATCTCTAGCAAACTTCTGGCAGAACCTGGCCATCGCTGCAAACCCACGTCTAAGTCCCAAGCCACTGGACCTGAACTAAACTACTCGTACTCGTACTGCAGTTGCGCTGGCAAGACCGCGATCCCTCTTACCCAGGCGGCTTGTCCTGCTTGCATGTGCTACCATCTAGTGCAGCTGTGATGCCATTACAACCATTCAAATTATCACCACCACCATCGTCAAGTCAGCATCATCACTGTATGCACTTCCTTCTTGACCAGAATTACCGCCAGCATCACTAGAATCACTGTTTGCTCAGTGTTGCTCTGGGAGCAGAAATCAGAAAGCCGCAGACTCCAGCCAAGCAAGGATCGGGACGTGTCGTGCTTCGGAGTTAGAGGTTTCTTGAGGCACAGAGGGGCGAATGCGGGCCTTGGTCCAACTCCGAGTGCCACGGGGGACCCAAATCCTTTGGTGATTGCAGTTACAAACAGTTTTGGGTGCCCTCGAATCCCAAGCAAACATCATACATAGAGCTCTCTCATGCGTACACTTCCGCACCCCCTAGCGTCGCAGCCACGGTGCTTTGTACAAACAGCAGGTCGCCGCGAAACAGAGCACTGAAGATTCCTTGGCTCACTCGCCTAGTCCCAGGTAATTATTAAGAATCCTGCCACACACAGGCAGTTGTAACTGTCATGTTCAGGGAAGCAGTAACGAGCACCTGATGGTAGCTATGCAACTGTTATGGCGAAGGTTGCCCCAGGGTGAAAAACGTCCCTCCTCATCCTGATCGCGGTGCAGGTGGTCCCATAATTGAAACACCTGTATACATGGTCCAAGCGGCTCTCTGAAGGCAAGCTTGGATCAAGAAGCGTCGGCTTGTGCCGCTTGACGGCGGCCATGATATGAGGCGTGATGATGTTAGTGCATGTCTTGTTGTGATCGGTGCTGGGTTGGTTGCCTTGGTCGCTGTTGCGATTGTGCTTGGGCTTTGATTGTGGGTTGTGGTTGTGACTCTTGTTGTTGATGTGGTTGTCGTTGTCGTGGTTAGCCGTTGTGGTTTTAGAGTTTGGTGTGCGTGTCGTCGTTGCAGGTGTGGTTGTGGTTGCAGTTGTGCTTATTGTTTTGCTTCTGCTGCTGCTGCTGCTGCTGCTGCACACTGCCCGGATCTGACGACAAGTGTCCAAGTCTCATGTGCTACATGTAGTGATTCATGGCAGCCACGTCAAGGTTGTTCAAGATTCGGGCCCCTTGCTCAGGTGCTTCTCTTGCCAAGCTACATGACCGCGACCCAGGCTTCAGGTCTTGGACCACAAAACGGCGAATGATGAAGTAATGTTGGGGCCGTGACAATGAGAATAGGGTTTTGGGGATTCCTTGTTAGAACAATAGAATAGTATAATATACTTCCGAACCATCCAAACCCTTTTCTAATTATTAAGGCGCCTATATATAGAATACACCAAAACCGTTAAGCCATGAGCGAGACTACGGCTCTTTTAACTCAGAGGGCTTGGGCACGAACGTCACGGTATAGTATACACAACATGATGACTGTACACGACCATACAAACTCCTACGCAAGCTGCGATGCAAAACTACACCCCCCTCACCTAAAGGCACGGTCACTGCATCCAAAAACACAGCATACCTTCGCCTGCAGGTGGAAGAGCGCTTCGGCTCGGAGTTTGACGATCGGCGTGGAGTTGCCTCCCGCGTCATCAGTTCAGCAAAAGTACATGTGACTATCGTGTGCCTCGAGGAAGGGTGCGAAAAACTACATGCAAGCTTTTCTTCAAATGCAAGACGCTGGTTTCAGCGTGGAGCAAGGATGATAGGAGTTCGCCGCACAGCCACTTGAAAAATATCATAGGCCGGGTGAACATCCCTCTTGCTCGAAAGAATCAGACTACTGGGTCGGCTTATCAGTTCCAACGCCATCCGCGATTGCGCCACTCACGCCAGTTCTGGTTGTCCCAGTTCTGGCCGCTCCATGTTCCCCAGGATGACGAAGACCAATTCTGCCACCAGGATTGATTATCCCAGTCCCAGTCGCGGTTGGTGCGATCGGCGGCCTCGGCGTTAGCCGGGCTTTTGCCTTTTCCCTTCTCTGCTGCTCGGGCATATGTAGAGCCCTTGCCACCACCTGGCGGATGCTGCTGGGCATACTTCGGCTGGGCAGCACGACTTTGATTGGCCTTTTTGATGGTTTCATCAACCGTCTCCACCATGAAGGGTAGGTCCTTTGCCAAAACGGTCTGCAGGTCCGTACCCACTGCAGCGGGATCGTAGTTGAGGAAATCCACCTTGCCGTGGCCAAAAGTCTGTAGACGGATGCCCCCCTTTTGCCTGGCGATGTTGTGAGCGAAATCTTGGAACGAAAGGATGGCTCCGTACCATGTAAATGCTACTGGCGTATCCTCCGGCGTGGACGTTAGTCCCGCTGCGCACAACTTACCGCCAATGCCATCGTCTCCGGTAAAGAAAACGATACGACACTCTGGAACCTCGTCCGTGCGGGTCTGGTGCGTGGAACTCGCCGCTCTGGAGGATCCAATAGCCAGCATGCGTTGCGATCGAGTGCGGCCAGGGTTCGGAAGGTAGGCGAAGCAGAGGCAGTCGAGGGCACGGATCGTTCTGCGTGTGTATCCCTCTTTGGCCATTGAAATTGCGTATTCATTGTCATGATTGAACCTCGCCACGCAATCAGTGTAGCCCTTTTTCACGGCTCTCTGCTTTGCCACTTTGGCTTTCCGAATAACCTCGCCTTCTAAGGAGTTCATGCCACGGCCGGCGACATCTTTCGATGCGCTTTGAAGGCTTGGCCTCACTCCCACTCGTTCAGCGGCATCACCCATCTCCTGAAGCAGAGCTTCACGCCCACGTGCCAACAGCGTCCGTCTGCCCTGTGCCTTCAATTGACCTGGTCGAACTGGCCCTCCGCATTGAGAGCAAATCCTTTGGCCTTGAAGACACTCAGCTTTGCAGTGGTAGCATTTGATTTTCTCCAAAAACGCGGCGGATGGCTTGGTCTCACTACCAGCATAAAGTACTGGTTCTGGCCTTCCCACCGGCTCCTGGATTGCTTCAACTGGTGTACCCTCAGCATCCAGCGTCACCGTTGTCGCCATTCCGTCACCGATGTACACAGTCCTGATTGGAGGACCCGGCTGTGCAATGATGGTGCCTGGTTCAACAAGCGGCCTCTCCTCTACGGAGGGCATTTGCTCATCATCAGGAGCTTCATCGTCGTCAGCCTTTGCAGGGGCATCGGTGATAGCCAACGATCCCTCAAGCACATCAGCGACATCTGGAATGGGCGGTAGGGATGTTTCCTCAGCTGGAAGGGTACCATGTTCTTCATCAATAGGCGGTGCGAAATTGTCCTGAGTCGTCTCCTCAGCCTCGGGTTCATCAAGAACGATATCGATGCCGGCCTCAGCGTTAGCTGGGCTTTCACCTTGTTCCGCCTCATCAGGAGGGACAGCGCCTCCCGCACGGGACCAAAGTACGACATCGCGTTGCGTGTCATTGATGAACAAGATGGTCGAGCCGGGCACTGCCTCGGAGCACAGTATGCCATCAGACTCCGTAAGGAATAGGTCGCACCCAGCTTCGAGGACCTCCCGGGTGTCAAAGACGATCTCAATTGGTGCGCTTGCACGGAGTCCTGAACGTGCCTTTTGCTCTTCGAGCGGCAGCGGCGCAAAATAACAATGCGCCTTCTCAGAACCTCCAAAACCAGGCAACAAACGATCTTCCAGAATCGCATACGCCGCATCATGTGTTGTGCGATGATAGAGTCTGGGCGGCGCCTTATCAATCGGGATCAACGGCCTGCCCTCTCGGGCGGCATTAGCCAGCTCTTCAGAACGCTGCAGTGTAAGATATGCCTTTGCAATAGAGGCATTGTCGAGCTGCAGATTGCTGGAGTGGCCTTGCGTACAACCGACGTAGACCGGAAAAGCCGGTTGGCCAATTGCATCGGCAGCACTGTCCATTGGTCCGCGAAACATAAGGCGCTGTTTGTTGTCGGTGGCGATCATGTCGAGGAGGCTTCCTAAACCGATGTCGCTTCCAGGTCTGCATCGATTAGCAACCTCAAGCACTTCCATGGCTAGTACCCATGGCCCGCTCCACGATCGCATTTTAAATTGATTACCCTTGTTTTCGAAGTTGCCCCTGATCAGTCCAGTGACAAATGTGACCATCTTGTGGTCACATCTGGGGTAGTGTAGGCCTGGCGTCATGTCTTTTTGGAACACTTCGATGTACTGGTCGGCCTCCTCTTGCGAGGGGCATTCGTTCCAGTAATCATACAGGGTAATGCCAGTCATCTCGGCGAAGTCGTAGGTGTCATTCATGAACCTCATTCCGCGCGATCCCTGCACTGCGAGCTTGGTCAATCGCTGCTTGTCGGCCTCAGCCTTTGCGAGGCGAGCTCTTTTTGCAGCGTGCTCGGTGCCAGAGTCGCCAGACAGAATGCCTCCACCATAAATGGATGCGTCGATCGGCATTGGTCGAATATCGCCAGAAGACGAAGCCGCAGTACTCGCCGGGGTAACGGCCTCCACCTTAGGTGGGGCTTTGTTCCATTCCGGCGAATTGATCTCCTCTTCTGTTGCGAAAACACCGGGCGCGACGCTGATGACATTCTGAATCTTCATCTCCTTGAGGAAGTCGGGGACCTCAGGCGCAGGCAGTTCGGCGTGACTTTCGTCACGCTTCTCCTCCCAGTATGCGTCGTCCCACGGATCCTCCTCCGTTGGCTCCGCTTTGACCTGCTTGCTTCTCGTCATCCTCGCAAGAGCCGCTTGCAGGACATGGTTATCCACTGCGTAGCGACCACGGGAATCAAAATAATTTTCAGCAAGCAGTGATTGGAAGGCGGCTTCGCCCATTTTCGCTATGGCTCTGGAGGCGTAGCGCTCGGCGATCTCGATCTGCATGATGTGGGCTAAACCCGAAACCATCTTGCGGCGGGATTCGCTGTCCTCGCGGAAATGGACGTTGTCATTATAGAGCGCCAAATCTCCAAGGAAGGGGTGGATGTCACAGGCGGCGAGTCCTCTACGGACCGCTTCGTCCTTGAATCGCGCAATGCATTCATCGAACTGCTTTGGCAACCCGTAGACGAAGCTGCGAATTCCTGTGCAGATCACAATGGACCCCACATATGGAGAACGGCGCTGCAGGTCTGCAAGCGCTTCAAGGTTTTGGCAAACTCTCCGACAGATCTTTTGCCAATCTCCGCGGGCCTCTATGGGCGATTGATGGTCCCACCACGTCGGGACGCCGGGGCTGCAAAATATCCCGTATCTGCCGACGATCTCATTCGCCATCCAGACAATCTGCACGTCCACCAGCAACTCTTGGTCGCCAGAGTAGCGCAGAGCCGTCTGGTCACAGAGGATCTGAGCCCTCTCCCGAATTTCGGACAATGTTTTGCCCCACAGGGGTTCGTAAATTATCTCCCTGTATTGCAGATAGACCCCCGAGCTCGCTGCCTTCAAATCCGAGGAAAGGTCCGTCCTCGTTCTCTTGCCAGCAACGAAAACAGTCGTAGAGTCGGAGAGGAGGATGAGCACCCGCTTTCGGCCTCGATTTTCATCGGGCTTTAGCTGCGACATGCCAGACTGCGTCAGTGCTGCCACTCGGTTGAGCCCAGGATATCGATCCGTTTCAAAGCAGTTGTGAGCAGCCACTTGCACCGGCATGTACTGAAAAAGTGCTCGCAACTCTCCTTCGTCAATCGACTCTTGGAAGCCTATCGACTCGTGACTGATGACGGCCGCCCAAAGCTGGCGGCCCCAAAAATCGGCCAACTGCTCTTCGTAGGTCGCCATCGCTCTTCTACTCTCAGCTGCTACCACGGGACTAGGACCCGGCCTCAGCGTTAGCT